GATCGTAATAGTTTCATATGACGAGCTGTTTTGTGATTTGTAGGGTTAATCAGTTTCTCGGCTGACAGTTCCACTTCTTGTGATTGCAGTTCCTCTGTTCACCGTGACTACTCTAATTGAACACCCGAAAAACCGCCAGTCAGCTGTATCAGCAAATTCTATACTCATGGAAAGAATACTTAGTAAATTCGCGTTTGTAATGAAAAAATAAAGAGCACTCTTTTTTCTTACATATTTGAACTAGTTAGTTTCGAGATCTTGCGCTTTAATTGAAGATCCCTTTTGTACCTAGTGCGTAGTAACTAGACACCTTGCAAGAGCGGTAAGAGATTGCGAAAGTGCTTCATATAGGACAAGAAATGAAGTAATGCTGTTACCGTTTCAGTGAAGTTTACCGTAGGTGAGAGGTAAATGAAGGAAGCGATCATCGTTTCTGATCAGTTGAGAAACTTCTGCTTAGAAAACTCGAAACTCTGGTCTAATTGTTAAACAGACTAACAACTTCCTTAATAACTAAAGCACTTTGGTACACCTATTTATATCAAAACAGCATTCCTTCCAAATAGACTTATTATGCATTATTACTGTAAGCACGTACATGGAATTATCTACTAATACATTAATTTTATTTTGCACTAAGTATGTACGTACGCAATCCGAAGCTATTTTTTATTCTTGTTATGAAAGTCCCTCGACGAAGGTGATGATGGATAAAGGTTGTTTACTACGCAGTGATTGGGAAAGATTTTTCTGCCACACCAGAATAGATCAGATATCTTTTCTGTTTTATTTTTTGTTTGTTTGTTGATTATTATTACAGTTATTGTTATCGTTATCGCTCATTCATTTTGTTACTATTATGGTTGAGACTGTTCCTCTCTAGAGATTATATAACGTTTCCATCGTAAACAGGAGGGGATTATATTACCACGTGTGAAACAAATGTAGTGATGTACAAGATACTTTGTAATACATTCATACACGTACATCTGCTAGGACCAGCTATTGATCTCTCCTTGACCTCTACACACACTTGTACACGACCAACAAATACTTGTGGGTTCCTCCACATGGATCACCCCCAAACATACCGTTATTAGGCCTCAGGTGACATGACACGAAGTTGCTACACAAGTTATACACGACTGATAGTGAATTTGGAGAAATACAATTGGTGTTTGAGTCTGCATAATGAGGACATGTCTGCGTGTTCT